GACGCTGTGGATCACCTTCGGTCATCTTAGTTTAGGCACCGTGATCGAGATGCTGCCGCTGTCGACGGAAGATTGTCATAACGAGACGTTCTCATCGTGGGTCAACAAACCGATCAGTCTGGATTATTCAATACCGAACAACACGCAAATGAGCATTCACGAGAATTCCACGCTGTCTTTTGCCGACGACGAATCCGATAAATTATCCAATCCTTTGAGCGCCCTTTACGGGATCACGTATATGTATTACGCTTTCATTGGCAGCGTGACGACGGTCGTTGTCGGTATTATCGTGAGCCTGATCACGGCCGATGCCGAAGGTGATAAGTATGAGGAGCACTTGCTCCATCCCGCGGCGCGGAAGATAGCGGGACTATTTCCCGGGAAGCGGCGACTTTACGCCAGCAGGACACATCTCGGCAATAAAAATGACATTATGAATACGAGCGCCACTCTCTCCTGTGTCTCGACTGTGTCCATCGCTGACAGCACCGAGAAAATGGCTTCCCTTCAAGGATCCATGGACAGTAAGGGCAAGTTACAGCTGGACAACAGCTACATTGAGAAGTTGAACGCGCTGAAGACCGTCTCGCTCGACGTGACCAACGAGATCGGCAAGCACACTAGATTGTAATCCGACGCTAGTCCACAAGCGTTCCTTGTATATCATTCGCAGTATTATCGTCATGCCGAGAATCACGATACTTTCGACGAAACGGTACTGTGATAAACTCGACTCGACTGTATACAGTTGTGCGTGTTGATGCACAAATTTTATTATCTCAATGTGGTGCAACATGGTGAGTTTGTGAGCCGTGCACACAGAACGTAATTACGCGTGAGCAAAGTTTCCCTCGACTACGATGGTCGAGCTACACTCACATACAATTCAAAATATCGCTCAAATGAAGGCAATTCAGAGATGGAGTCCGCCTAGGAAAACTTCTAACTTGTGCGTGCCAATTAGAGTTAACTGCGAGACACGGGTGACGCGTATTTTGTAAGCTGTGTTTAGATGTGAATGAGAGATTTGTACTAGTGAAGATTATTCGAATGTGTGTGTTGAATAGAGAACTCACGTCATCACGTGAATTGCAACGAATGATTTCTGCATCTAACTATAAACGCAGAGAATGCAGGAATGGAAATCGGTACATCAGGAGTCAGTAAAAAAGTCGCGTTTAGTCAAAAGTTCAGTCAAAAATGTGTACCAGCTATTAGCTCAAGCAAACTTAATTGCAAATGAAAAATTGATATTAGTTCTCGACTTAGAAGATAAATTGTTTCGTCTTGTTGTTACGCGACGTTATCTCGATGTTGTATAACCAGCCAAACATCGACCAAACAACACATGTCATCAAATTCTCATTACGCTTCTTCAATTATCTCGTAGGAGAGTTGATTCTTTGATTCCTATTTATCTTCATTAATCGTTCAAAAGTTTACGCAAATATATCTTAACATTTTGAACAGATTTAACAGATTCTCAAATTTACATGTAGATACACAAATATCAAACATGTATATATGTATACGTAAATGTGTATAAATAATACATAGATATAAAAAACTGTGTTATACAGCATTTCTTAATAAAAGACAATGTCTGTTAATTCGCTAAAAATTTTAGATAAAAAAGAAGCAGTGCAGTCTCATTACAAAGCGAAATGCAGAAGCATTTCACAATTCAGTGCGAAACTCAATAACTCATAATGGCGCTGAGCAGTAATATGTATGTGTATCTTCATATCGAGTGAAGATATGTAATCACAACATCGATCAGGGTTCCTCTAGTATAGTATTTAAATATTAAGATTTCGAAACTTTATGTAATAAGTAGTGTTATATTTTGCAGATCGCGCGTTTCTTATATGTATGCGCGTGCATTGTTTTTAAAAATTTTCGTACTAAAATATATTTTTATACTTTAGAAGTGTGAATTGTTTTATAAAGAAAATATTGTTTCTTTGAAATTATATACATAAAAAAAAATAATATCAATTAATTTTGTCCGTGTAATTGCTGTTATATATATATATGTCTATATATATTTATTGTTTCAACAATATACTATATTTGAATTAGTTTTTAATCTGACTTGTATTTATTTACGAGCCTTAAAACCTCTTTTCCTACGCAAACATCGATTAATATCTTTAAAATATTCTATTATGTATATATTCCATTTTGCACATTATACATTTTATTTTAAATAGAAATACTTCTTATTAATGAATCAATAAACGTTTTATTTACTACTGTTATAACTACTGTTAAAACAAAAAAATATTTTATTATATATTTGTTATCATTATTATTAGTTATTGAACATACACAACTTTATTTTCTGATTGCTATATATATGAATTTTCTTTAATATCTTCTTCATCCACGTTTCGATATTGCTTGTTATATGTTACTTATTTTGCATTTTACGTAAACATGTTGACTCCACATATTGCTGCTTGGAATATCATTTCAAATTCTTTGCATCAAAATAAAGTTTGTAACTTGTTCAGTAACATTATACATTGTTCTCTGTACATTACTTGGTCTTTTTGCAAAAAAAAAGATATTTCTTGAACAAACTAATATAAAACTGATAAAAACATTTTATTTTGTTTTAATCAAGTGTATTCAAAGTTTGAAAAATATTTTATTTTGTTTTAATTAAGTGTATTCAAAGTTTGAATAACAAAATAAAATATTTTTATCAGTTTTATATTTGCCCAATAGGTAAATGTCTTTTTGCAAACAAAAAACCAATAATGTGCAGAGAACAACGTACAATGTCACTGAACAAGTTATTAACTTGAATTTCAAACTACGTTAATGTGTCTAGACTGAATATGTGATAGTGACTAAATATTTTAAAGATAGCATTGTTTGATAAATTAAATATTAACATGAAAAATATAATCTCGAAAGTGTAAAATGCCGCCTACTCTTAAAACATAATTTATTCGATAAAAATAGAAACGTCCGGCTCTATTCTACATAATCTAATCTAAGTACTGAGATAAGCAGAAGAAAAGTATCATTATTCTATTCTAAATTAGTACGAAACGATTACTTTTCCGATTACGATTATTTAATTTATTCATCTAATCAACTATAGAAATAAATAAAATTTATATAATCGGTTATGTAAGTGCAATACGGGTTCCGAAGAAGGTAGATACGCGTGGCATATGGTCGACCGTAGAAAGTGCATACACGACTATCGATGCTTCTCATCGGGACTGGAAATTCAAGTTCGAGGTGATCCGGTGTGCAGACCGCTGACACTGGCAACGTTGCAGCGTTTTTAATGGTAGTGGTGTCGTCAATACACACCCTACTCTAGCAAAATGAATCTGTAGTGGTGAAGTAGCATGCAGCTGGCCGGCTGTATTCGTGAAAACATAGGCCGTTTTAGTAGCGCGCGCGTTCCCGGACTGGTCGCTTGTAAATCTTTCCGTACGAGAGATGATAATATCGCTTGTGCGATAACAGTGCAAAGCTCGTTATCATCGTTCTTCCTTCCTCCCTCCCTTCGCTCGCCTCTCCTTCCCTTTTTTCTCTCTCGCCGCTCTCTCAACTGTTTTCGTCGGCTGCAGTCAGGTTTCACGTTTGAAGTGTACCGCGAGTACGGCTTCGATCCTGCGCTCTTCGCTTTTTAGCGACGTTCGATCAGGCCACGAGACCCTCCATTTTGACAGTACGCCGGCAAGATCGCGTGGAACACGCGGAACAGCTGCGCGTCTATTTTCGCTGGGCTATCGGAGGCGTGCGGATCTCGCGTTACGGGCGTGCGGAAGATAATACGTTTACGTGCCTGTGCACTATCTCACGCGGCAGTTTCCCCAGGAGTACGACGTGGGTGCGGCGCATCATGGCGATGGAATCGAGGTAAATGCGCGGAGAGCCCGCACACATGCATTCTGATCGACGTGCGCCAGTAGACGGTCTTCACAGTACGCGAACAACCCTTTGAGGGACTATAATATACAGCGCACAAGGGCTCGTATGCCCGTGTGGATGGCTCGAGCTCACGATTATGACTGTCAACCACATCGGAGGTTTTATGATAATAATAAAAGAAATAGATAAGAATGCGAGAGATGTATTACGCTTTCCTTTTTAAAAAATTCAAAGAAAGCATATATTTTATAAGATTAAATGTCTAACATGCGGAATATTTTATTTGCATTCCAATCATGTGAATACAAATTTATCATACGTTCAAGATGTTTACATCTAAAAATAGAATCTGACTTGCACCTTGATGTTTCGAATTTGTCTCGTGTTTCTATCGTTCACTCGAGTTTAGAAGCGAAAACAATCAATGTCATTCTCCGACTTGTAATACTGATTGTTGTTGCTGCAAGATGTACTATGATTGTGCGCTATAACCACTGGCTAATTCAGAATTGCAGTTTAAATTGTAGGTTCTTGGTGAATAATTAGGTAGCCCATGTCGAAAATGCGACGTAAACATATTTGCTTGTGGATTCGCGGGAACTCATGAGAGATGTGAGTTTCTACCGTGCCAATGCCGGTTCGTTTCGCACTGTTACGCGAGACAGTGGTGCCCAACTGTTTCAAAGCTGCAAAGTTTTCAGCACCGTTAGCTCGCAGCTTAGAACATACTCCTGATTGATTGCACATTGTGTATGTTTGCAGAACACGTGATAGAAGTTAGTTTTGTTGATCAGAGAAACTGAAGTAAACTGATAATATCGAACTCCAATATAATGTGGTGGTTCTCGCGATGTTAATAGTTTTTAAGTTCTTAATTTTCCCTTAACTCAAATTGCTAATGTTATTTTAGAAGGCTTATTAAGTATATTGATGTTTGTGAGTTCAATGCATTCATGTAAAAAGTCGTAAAACTGATAATGAAGGAAAACAATCTATAAAGTATACTTTTCTTACAATTAATAAATTCAAAAGTTAAATATATTTTCTTCTTTGAAAATTTATATTTAAATGTAATTTATACCACAATTTTGGCTCAAATAGGATCGATTGAAATAATAAATCACTCATTTCTGTCTTAATTGGAAGAAATAGAATTATTCATTATATTATTAAATTATATATCAGTATAATAAGAGGAAAATTAAGAGGATATATCATTGAAAGAATAATAATAGCAACATGTGCTAGTTTCTTTACATTTTCCATTCGCGTAATGAATATTCTTTCGGCCATTAATTTTGGACGGTGGACAGATATGTGAATATTACCTGAATAATACTAATTACTCCAAATATCTAGGTGTTCGGAAATGCAAATAACAAAAATCTATGTCTTTGAGAATTATCGAGCCAAATATTTGCAATCCCAAATAATTTCCGTAAAAAAGCTTGGTGGAGATAGCAGAGCTTTGAATATAAAGGCAATCACATTGATAACACACACAATTGCATGTTAATTGGGTAGAACCAAATTAACATTGGCAATATTTCTGCCATAAATATTTTATGTAATATTGCTACACAATACGAGAACGTACATAATAGTATATGCGTGCCTCATGGACTATAAATCAATTCCACCTTTCGTAACTTCGAAAACTATTTGTTTGAGTGCAATATTACGTTAGTTAATTTGCAGTTAATCTATTAAAACCGTTTTGTTACAGTAAATCATATCGCTAGCAATATAAACACAGTGGAGATTGTGTTGAAAATTAAAATTATTTTTACAAATGAAAAAAATCAAAAAGTAAATAAAATTTTAAAAAATGTATTTAAGGAAAGAATACAGACGTAAAAATAATTTTAATTTTTAGCATAATTGTATCGTTCAACAAAAGTGGTCCAATGACAAACAAACTGGTGAGAAAAAAATGTCAGTTCCACTTTCAGTTACGCTTTTTTCCATTTCTATGCCAGACGCAATACATTTGCTTTCAAAGCCGTTTTGAGTGATCCAAAAATGTGAAAGTCACAAAATGACAAATTAGTCAATATGTTTAAAACCATAAAATGACTGAAATATTGGGCTATTTCTTAGTTGTCATTTTGCCACCTTGCAACTTTCATATTTTTAAATCATTTAACAAAGTGCTTTGAAAAGCACTAAAGAAGTGAAAAAAGCGTGAATGCGTAATAGAGAGCGCACATGTACAACATAAATTATTTTTTTCAAACGTTAAAATTATTTTTATACTTGCATTTTTCTTTTTTAATATAATTATTTAAAAAATTCCCTATATTTTTCGAATTTTCTTTGTACTGTAATTTGTCCAAAAATATATGGAATATTCATTATATAAAAATTTTAAAATAAGAATTATAAAAAAAATTTTAATATGTTCAAAAATATATGTAACAAAAATATTTTAATAGAGATTCCTTCCTCCAAAGCTAGAATATACGGCTGAAATTGAAATAATCCTCCCTAAAATAACTTTCATAAATGGATGAACTGAATTTTCTTCGATTATTCTTTCATTCGAAAATAAAGCAGTATTTGATGGCAATTCAAATCGATACTTTAATGAGAATTTATCTATAAAACCCCGAATAATTCTGATCAATTCCAAAGCATTATAATATAACAATCCATATCTCAATAATGAGCACATCATCCTGTAACATGTATCCAAACGATAAGAAGGGTATTGCCTTAACACTTGGCAAAACTAGTCGCGTTTTATGTGATATTTCTGAAAAGTCATACCTATACAGCGAGTGCACAAAATCAAATATCAGCGATAACATTGTGACGCGATGAAAGTAAGTGTTACATTATTCATCATGATATCCCGTGCTGCACGAAACAGCAGTCATTATAATTTCTAAAGCGCGACTCGACTTCCTTGACTTCTCTATTCTTTAAGCTGTTGTTAGTTCGACGTATACTGGACGCAGATAGATAGCGGTAAATTATTAGCGCATCATGCATAAACCGCGCGAGGCGAGCCCGTGGAAACACCTGATGCAGCAATGGCCGTAGATCTACAAAGACTTCATTATCACCGCGTGATATATACACGCGCGCGCGCGCGGGGGGAAAGCATTATTGTCTCCTGGATTATGTTCACGATCGATCGACGTTCGATTTATGCGCGCGCGATATCACGTGTACTCTTGAGATTTATTATCTTCCATAGAATTCAACGTTATTGTGCTCGAACTGTGACCAGTCAGTGTTGGTCGAGTTGATTTCGCGCGAAAGGAAAAATCTGTTAAAGGTATGCGAATGGGGAAAAAAATAGTAAAAATAAAATCATCATTTATATCAATTGTTATCGTTTAAAAAATATTTTAAGATTGAAAGATGTTTGTAATTAAGTCTTTCGAGTGTCACATTAGATTACTTTTAATCTCAATTAATCTTCGGTCAACATAACACTTCACAATCATGACAATCATTAGAGATATTTAATATACATAGATAAGATAAAATTTTTTATTTATGCGTTACGTAATAGTTCTGTTTAATACGAGATACTTCGAGAACTGTTGTCGTTAAACGAGCGTAAGAACTGACATGACTATTTTCACAGCGGCACTATTTTGGGAATTACCGATATTCTTGTGCATTTCATGCAGCACATTTTCTACGAATACACGTGCACATCTGTCGTAATATTTTCTCTCCTTTTGCGTAAAAAGAACTTTTGTGGTATTATAGTAAGATGTTTGTAGTCTTTTTATATATAGCTATATTTGTATGGAATTTCTTATTTGCCCGGTACATAGACGTTTATATTGACGAGCGTATTTTAAGAAAGAAGAAAATGATCTCCATCTTCTTTTCTACTTATGTATCCACATACATTACATATTCTGACATATATTTATTTCATAAACTCGAATGGATGCTATTTATATGTATATATAGTTTTCACGATAGTAATTTTTAAAATCACATTTTTGCGATTTAACGGTGATGGCTTTCGTCTGCAACGAACGATGTTATACTAGATACGTATTGTTAATATAATGCAAATGTATTCCACGGAAGGTATCGCCGGCGGTCTTATCTAATGGTTATGCACTATCAGACCACAGCATTTTGTTCTCCAAGTCGCACATTTAGCGATTCATCTTTAATTTAGCGCTAAGTGTAAAAGCTGGAGATAAGTCCGCTATTTATGGACGTCGCCGCCGATAAGAGTGCCGTATTTTTTGCAGAATAATTATACAATTGCAACGTGGTACCGCGTATCAATTCATCTTCTAATAAAACACTAGAATATCTGAGATGAAATAAATTAAGTTGAAAACTTGAAAAATATGAATACTTAATTTTGCTTTTATGTCTAACAAACAAAATACCTACATAAAAATAAAGAATATTGTGATATAGACTCTGATAGATTATAAAATAAAAATAAGTGAACTGTGAGTCAAACGCTGCATGTCCTTGCTAAACTTTTTTTTATTACTTGTAACGACAAGAAAAATTTCGGTTCCTTGATGTGACTTTTTTCAATGTCTATACTGTCTTCAAACTTTAAATTATACCGAGGTCTCTATGCTACTTCGAGTTTACAATTAAACTACAATTAACTGCAATTTATTCGATGACGTTATTGAAGTTATTTCTTAAATTATTGATGTAATCACATTAATGTGTCTTGCATTAACCGGATGAAGTATGAAGTTGCCTATGTTTTACTTTTATTTCACAGTTAGCAGGTCTGTTGTTATAAGTTAATTTTTAATTTCTAATAACGGACCTGCTGACTGAAAAATAAAAGTAAAATGTAGACAACTTTATACTCATTTGGTTAATGCAGAGACAAGCATGCAAATTACATCAATAATTACTTAAATAGTTACTGAAAAAAAAGAAAAGTGATAGCTGCAGGAAATAAAAAATTGATTATCAAACGTTGTCTTCATAATTATATTTTAAACTTAAATTTCTTTTTTATTTTTATAATAGTAATTGATAATAAGGAGCAAATATTATAAATTATACTTACAATTAGATATTTATCAGTCTCAAAGAATTAATAACAAACTATTTTATATTTGTATTTTAAAAATAATAAAAGCAATATATTTTTCTCCCATTAATTTTTGTAAAATTTTATCGTGCGTTTTTCATAAAAAAGAAATTTGAAAAAATCTCATTATTCATAAAGTGGAAGAAAATTCTTTATTGGTGATATTAGAGCTGTTGAAAAATATGCCACGTTATAGAGATAACAGTATTCATTATTTTAAAAGATGGTAGCATAATCGGCGACGATCATTTACACTGACACGTGTGAAACGAGTTGTAATCGACTCCTTCAGTTATCGATCGGAGCTTATCGGGCAAACGGTAGTGAAAATGGAGCATTTAAAAGTTCACGTGTGTGAAACCTACGCAAAAATTAGATTTTGAAGAATAAAAGAAAAGAAAATCAAGAAAACTTTTTCGTTTCGCGATTGCATTTCAACGTCGAATGGCAAAGTAAATTTAAAAACTGCAATGTTTATCTCGATTTTAACATATTCTCGCACTGCTATCTCGTCACGAAAAATATATTATACTGCGCGATTTTATTTCCTTTCCAATATAAATATTCAATCTCCTTTTTTGTCTAATTTTGCCAGGATAATATAAAGAAATTGCGATATGTGAAAAGGTGGACATACATATAAACTTTTCCAAAGCATCAGTTAAACGCGATATGTATATCTTGCGGATATTACGAATATTGAGATAAAAGTATGAATATTTTAAATCTCCCATTTACGATTCGCAATTAGAGATAATTTTGTTGAATAAAAAGAGCAGAAAATATAATTACATCTTTTAATAGCTAGATAATATGAAACGACACGTCGAACTTTTACGCACTTTATATTTATTTAACATTTATTACGACTCTGATTCGATTGTAATGCGTTTAATTTGTTATCTTATACTGAGGACAGTTTAAATAAAGACCGAAACATTTGTAATTCAATGTAACTGTTTCACTGTTGAATTATAATGCACACATATTTTAGTACTATAACCGGTCACGCGGCTTATTTGCCTTTTCTATTTGGCTTTGTGAAATTAATATTATGCTAATTATTGATAAATAAATAAGGAATTAGTATTCTAATTTTACGTTAACTTATTACCATATAAATCTGTAATAATATTTCCTCTCTTGCTTCCTCTTCTAATATTGTGCAAAAGATATATAACTTTTGCGCTTCGGGCGGCAATTTTTGGCGCACTTGTCTCGTTTATAATTTATAATTACTGCGATAACGGAAAGTTGTGCGCTTTGATGAAAGATTAATTATCCCGTAGTTTAGAAACGCTTGTACTATGATTACGTCAAATTAACATGGCAATATATATCAACTATGTCGTAATTAAAAATAAACTATTTTCTTCAATTACCTCTATTATTTCCATTATATATTATTTCCATTATACATATTCCATTCATATTAAAAAATTAAATTTAATTAAATTTAAATTTGCATTTCTCTACACAAGACGAATATGTTCGTCATTGTTCAAATCTAGCAAGGCACAATTTTGGTACATGAATAATTCGGCTACATTAATGAATGATTGAGCGAAAGATGTAAATTTCTTCCCTTTTTTTTCTCCTCTTTTGTGAAAATCTTTATTTCCTTCCGTGGATTTGAATTCTGCTGAAATTATTACTGACTCGAATGTGCATATCGTGTTCACATTAATGAATAATTATTTTGCTTTTGTCTAATCGAATTCGCTAACAATTGACGGCGTGTACAGATAACAAGGATAATGATTCATTTCAGATGGATGCCGTGTCAGCTGAAAATTGAAGCGAATATCTGCAGCGTCGATTACGATGGCATTATCCTGGTGTCAGGAAGTGCCCCTGGATCCGACGAGCCGGAACCCTTCAAAACCGTCCTCTACACCGCGGCCCAGATCGATGCCGCACTGGGCGTGATCGGCGCGGTTTTGCCCATCAATTTGCCCGCAAAAAGGCTCATTTACAGTCCAACGGGTCCGCTTAACATGGATTATCACGATGTGCGAAGCTTCGCAGAGGCTGCTACGAAGGGAATAAAGCGGTAATTCCTTTGTGTGACCTCACACGCTTTTCTCTCTCTTTCTCTTTGTTCTTTCCTTTTTTTTTTAAATAAGTAACAAAAGCGTCGTAGCCGTAGGGATGTATTTTATGTATATGTTATTGGCACGTCCCAACGGCGCTTAAAAATATGGTTTTATAATGTATTATATAGAGATATATAAACAAGTTATAAGAGACTTTTTGAATATACAGGATGTCCCAAAATTATGCATGCATTTATTAAATATGTGTGTGTGTACATATATATATATATGCATATTTAATAAAATATTTCCAATATTTCCGGATTTGCTTGTATAAAAATTTATTTATTTATTTCCTCTCATAAAAACATTGGCATAATTTAACTTCAAATATCCCGGAGAATGTATGTAAAGAGAAAGAATTTTTCTGTCGCAACGGAATCGTCGGTGCTATTATATATTTGATGTGAGAGCGACCAACTTCACTACTATAATTAATTACTCATTATGACAGCAAAGTGTGGTAAAATTGAAAAATTTTACTAATTAAATTTGCTTGCAAAAATACAAATTTGCTGCTACATCGTATTTAATTGCTAAAATGGAATAGTCTGTCTCTGTGTCAAATGTGTTTTGCCGTTGCAGCGAAATCGTCACAGCTTTCATGGTGGAATGAAAATTTGATTTATTATTACAGCGAAATATTATATAGATTTAGCAACCTTTCAAATCAAATTTTTAGCAAATAAAATTAATTTTTTTAGCAAATTTTTTTCTCTATCCATATATTCATCTGACAAACTGAAATTTCCTACACAATAACGGCATAAAATATGCTATGCCAGCAAATAAAAGAGACTTTGGCGGACCTAGAGAGATTTTTAGATATATTTTTCATAAAAATTTCCATTAAATGAAAATCGATAAAACATGTGCGGGACCGCGTGTAGGATGCTTGGTATACTTTTTTTTTTATTTATACGAAATTTGCCCCGTTATAGACCGTTTAAACTTCAGACTTTGCAAACCTCGGGCTTCGTATACTTTGACTGTCATTACGGGCGAACAATTACCCGTTAATTTAGCGCTTTATATGCTGTCGGCGAATTAAATCGTGATTGCCGACGCCGCTAGATAACTCCCGGTTATCTGTCGTTTTCGAGGGGAGATGGGAACACTATAGCGACGGACAAAGGAAACGACGGTACAATGGCACGATGCTATTAAACCACCAACTCCGTGCATCTACTATTGCTGTAAAAATGTCTGTTTTTGATCTCTACGTCGAACGAGACGTTCACCTTTAACATCAATTTTTTGTCGATACATACATGTATCAATATTTATCGACAATACAAAAAATATTATTGTTTTGTTAAACTTTTTCGTTTTACGATTCTTCAACATTGATCACCAATAGTTCAAAAATATTGCCTTCAAAAAGACCTCTGGTATTTTTAATCAATATTTCTCAAAGAAGAAACATTTTGCACGAAAGTCCGTTGTAATCGCAACGCGTAAATTTTCATTCTTTTCGGTTTTTTTTTTTTTTTATTTTATCGTGTAATTGAAGTCAGCCAGCATGTGCAGGAAGTGACATATCTGCGTTCCCGTACCGACAATTTGCACAAAAGTTGGAAAAAATTGCTACATTTCTACGAGCTCGCTTTAATTTGATGAAATCAGCACAAAAGTAATTAATCAAAGGCTCTTGATTGTGTACACGTACCAATATCAAACGTCTTCGTACCCGCATGCCAATGAACCGGCACGTGCATTCGTTTACCATCGCGACGTGTGATGGTCTTGCAATGAGCGAAAACGAGTCACGAACGATCGTCAACGCATTTTGTGTACTCGAATAGCTGCATAGGGGAAACGCAATGATGCGTGAACGAAATTCCGCGCGAGCCATACGCCTGTCCGTCCCGAAATTCGATTGAAAAATGAAATTCCCGTCCGTTTGGCTCAACTGTTTTTTTTTTTTTTTTTTTTCGCGCGGACAGTAGCGACGTCAACAGGAGATTGGCGTGGAGAACATTCCGCACTAGATGAAAAAAAGTGGAGATCGTAGGTATGTCGTGACGCGTTGCAAATGTTGAAATATTCCGTCTTAATGATAAACCGTGTTCTGTCGAATTTAGTTGGAGTGTTCAGTACAATGTCAGCTGCAGACGATAAACGAGATAAACGTCACATCGCTACACGCCAGAAACATGTGGCTAATAAATCGAGTATATAATTAATGACAAGATAGTAAACGATAAAATATCGTGAAAAATAATAATAATATATGTCAAAATAAATGTATATTAAAGACGAAATATTCATATTATTTCTTCTAAGAAATTAATAGAATATGAGAATTTAATATTTCTCTTTCGATATTTTAATATTCCTATTTCCTCTACAAATGTATATTTAGGTAAGTGAATTCCAATTTTGCATAGAATGCAAAAAATGCCATCTTCGTTCTGCACAATTATTTGAAAGTGCAATTTGCTCACGTTCGTAGTTTTCTCGTGAGATGCTTCCTAGTATTTTCCAGAGAAAGATAGTTCCTTTCTCTCTCTCTCTCTCTCTCTCTCTCTCTCTCTCTCTCTCTCTCTCTCTCTCTCTCTCTCTCTCTCTCTCTACAAATTTTATCGTCTGCATTTTAATTATTACTGATGTTTCCAGTGCAGGCAAAATTACTAACACGCTCCGTTACACATCCGAGCAATAATGCGGTATTTATAATCCTTCTGGAATCCTGGAATAATAACGGCGCACAAATTCTACGCGACATTAATACCAAAGTCAAATCAGAAATACCCCGCATCGAATCGAGAGCAGAACGAGAATTTCGGTGACCGCGCGCTGAAACGGAAACGAAATTCCCAAGTGCGAGACATCGCACGTATCGAGAATGTAACGAAGTTTAAACGCGCGATAGCGCGATACTTCGGGAATAGATTAATGAGTTCGTGATTCAGTGAGGGTGAGAAAAGCGCCGCCCGCTATGCGACTACATCTGTGCCGCGGCTGACAAGACGAAAATTGGACACGAAGGGAGCGAGGACGGCTATTCGTGACTCGAGATACTCAATAAGAACCGCACCTTTCCCCAGAGAACCTATTTCTTTTTTCTTCTGTTTGCATGGACACGCGTTCCCCCCCGGAGTGTAGTATCATTGCATTATTTTATGTCCGCCAACATTATTATATGGATTCTCGACGTCCGCTGACGTGACCGCTGAACATTGATGATATTATGTCCGCACTATAATTGCGGTTCGATTCCCCTGGTTTCTGTACATTTGTGAATGTCCACCTCCCCAAATCTTGTCTCTAGAGTATCCCATGATCCTTTCTTGGATCCCTGGATTCTTGGATTCCTTGATTGGTAACCCTCCGTCTATCAGTCTGCCAACAAGAGAGTCTCTTGACCGTTTTATTCTCTTGTTGACATATTTCCTCGAGTGATAAGGCTATCGAGCGGGTGACAAATAAGAGGACATTCTACTATCACATTTGTCTTATTTTAGTGTAATAATCCTTGGATCAGCGAGGCCGAATATAAAATATGACCGTAATCCAACATCCCATTCGTGTAATCGAATATTTGTTACCGCGCCCATATTATACGATTCGTCAGTTTGACTTGTGATTTTTTTGTTACATTTATCAGGGCATTAAAAGCTGGCGCGAAGCATCCTTTATTGGCGCTGCTGCCGGATGACCGTTTCGAGAACGTTGAGCTGGTTACGCTTCTTGGCGCTATGGAGGGTCTCTACACGGTGAGTTCCACAGCGGCGAATTATTCATCATAACACTAACGCGTTGAAATAATATTATGGCGAGTAGATCATATCGCATTTTAAGATCGTTCCGTATCTGAGAGTAGAATATTATGATTTCGAATACGATAGAACGGAATGAAACTCATGATCGCGCATACGCGCGTGGAGATTTATGGTAAAGATCGCTGACTTAATTTTATCATTGATAAAACTCTTTATCGTATCGATACATTTAAGCGAAAGATCTCAATTATCCCGTTTTATTTAATTCGGTTAAAGATAGCAGTCGTGGATTTTCGCGGAAATCGGCTAAACATAAAAAAGCCGTATCGACCGACGCACTTTTAATCCAGTTATCTGGGAATTAGATATGAAAAAGGGAAATCGGTAAAATCACTGGGGTCGAGGCAATCGATAAATGAGCGCTACTCGATTGTGGCAATATATCCGGCTAAGGCATTTCGCAGATAGTTGGTACAGTTGTGGTTACACGAGAGCCGTTTAAACCAATCAAACAGATACAACACAGCTTTGTGCGCACCTACGTCGGCAGTATAGGAAACCCGTGGCTGTATATCTAGAAGGAATTCACCTCCGTGTTTCAGCCGAGTTTGGTGCGCTGCGGTCTGATTGGCTCCCTTGCAAGAGTTGCTCACCATACTAAACCTAGCAAATCCGTCTCTACCTCGTCTCGAAACTAAATTGCTACTGTAATCTTAATCCATAACTAATGACGCGGCTGCGCGGGCCGCGTGACGCAATACGACTAATCCGCGATATTTTACGGAAACGTGAATTAATTCCGCTCCATCAATGCCCGATCATCCCAATAAGGCTCCGCTCGCCAATGGCCGCGCGTAATTACTCCGAACAATCGCGCGGATATTCATTATTTAACGATTACGAGGAGCCTCCGGGATATACGGGTAATTTGCAAGCGTGCACGTTCCGCGAGAATTAATGCAAGTATGCGTGTATCGTAATCCGCGCATCGAGCGCGATCGTTACGGTCGAATCGTTATGCCGCGGCCGATTGAGCGAATAGAGTTCCCTCGGCGCCGGCCCCGGCGCCGGCTGGATTCCAGCTCTCGTAGCTCATTTTTCTCGGCTGCGAACGTACGTGACGGCACGTCGGCGTGCACAATACGCATTCGCGAACAACACAACAGACACGGTGTCGCGCTGCCATCCGATACCGACCGAAAATAAGACCACGATTCGATTCGATTCTAAACGAGCTCGTTCATCTTGAATAAACGACCACCGCTCGGCGACAGGACAGCGGAACGGCGAAGAGTGCGGTCAGCACGGTCATCGGACAACACCTGTCACCGGCAGCGTCCGGCGCGGGCTGCGCTTGATGGATAAGTGCACGGCGTGTCTTACACTCGGAGGATATCGGTCTGTGCAACTCGATTGCAAGCTCCGTTGTTCATTAACCCCAAACGCCGCGGCGGTTAATTACGGTCAGACGATAGTATCCGCGTTATTATGCGAACTTCGAAGCCGGAAGTTAGCCGGCACGAGTGTACGCGGCAGGGAGATTCGATTCACGGATCCAGTAATAATCACTTTATCAGTGCGAGCTGTACGGCGATCGATCATTCACGTATATTCGACGACTAAGTATAATTAATTAAGTATAGCCATTGTGAAAAGACCTCCGGCAAAATATATATCAAATTTCAGATGTAAAGTCTTGATTGAAACTCTATAGTTTATACTTACAAGATTTCTTTAATGATATTGCAGCAGAATCATAGTGATTACTATGCTTTTACAAACGTGACATTACTCTTGTGTTGTATAAAGTGGAATAATATCTTAGAGATAAGAAATAGCGCTTTGTGCAAGCGGGGCGTATTACTCGAAGACACATTATTCTTTTGTTAAATTGTGGTTTTCAATGGTAAACGATAGTGTAGTATCGATTCGTCGCAAAACATAGAAACTGTGCTGCCGGAATAAAGACGTGATCTGGATACTTGTCTTTTCTTGTCGAAGATCAAAGTCGAAGAAGAGCTATAACTTTAAGCGCGGTAAAGTAAAGACAGTTAGTGAAGAAGGACTTAGCTTGCGGTCAGTATATCTGGATTATATACGCTAGACAGGACAAGAAGGCGCTTTCGGACTTTACATGAAGAAAACGAGTCTTTTGGAACTTCGCTAAAATGGATCTTATTTATTATATGTAATGGTGGTTTAAAAAAATGTCAAGTAGCTGTGCTTATTATGCATTATGCTGACACATATTTCTCCAAAATTGAAACAATTTAATTCATTAATAATTTGAAATTACAGCGCTATTAAAAACTTGCGTGAAAATATTTTCACATTTAAAAATAAAAATCTGATATAGGATATCACAAAGGACATTTATCGATACAAGAGTATTATTTCGAATAAGAATTTCGAAAAATTATAATATTTTTAATATTTAATTAAAATTTCAATTAATCACACAGATCACGAAACACGGATGGCATATAATTTAATGTTATGTAATTTAAAAATCATTCCATCAATATCACATTATTTTAACGAAAATTCGCGTCTATTTTAGAAGCGAGCTCCAATTTCTTTCCGAGTATTCAACGCGCGGTAAACCTTACGTTGATAGCGGATGTTCCTGCAACCCATCGGCGATACATAACGGGCATTCTTGTCTCCTAAGTTCAAGGACCAAAATTCTAAGTTTGGACCGCCGAGAGAGGAACACTCGGTCGCGGAGAAAGGGGCTTGTTTGTGGGCGGTGGTGGGATGCAGTTGAGGAGTTAGGGGAGACGCGGCGGGACAAACCGAGTGCTCTGCCCTATCAAGAGTAGCAAATGCTTGGCGTTCCTGAATCCTGGCGGCCGGCGAGGCGACCTAATTAGCGAAATACTCGGGCCCTCCCCTGTCCTCGTCGCCTCACCAACCGCTCAGCCCGCGGCACCGGAGCGTCGTCTACACCGAGCTCGTACGCTTCTTTCCTGATAACTCCGCTGTATCTCCCCCCTCCTGACCCCTTTCCTTTCGCGTCGCTCGTTCCTCCCGTCCGACGCAAATACGGGGCATCGTTTTCCAAATACCAGCAGGCACCCTCGGAATTTCTGTGCCGCGTAATCGGAACGCCGCGCCGTCGCGAATGTCGCGTCGGTGCTCCTCCCGTTTCTCTCGTAGCTCGCAGTTTTCCGACTTTTTCAATTCTTCCCGCCCTCTCGCGAGCCGCACGGACGCGCGCCACTGACAACGTGAAAGGTCGTCCGCGATGGAACGGGCTGAGCACGTGTCGGGTCGCGGAATCTTTTTTTGCGAGAAAAAATTCGAGAGGTAATCGCATAAAAAACGCGACTATGTTGGTATATTCCGAATTTCACCGTGTGTGAAAATTGTGAGAATATTCTCTTGAATTTTTTTCACACTATGCGTGAATTGCAGTTAAATAATTTGAGCACAAAAACGCATTTTTAAAAAAACAACAGTGTTATATATACTTGAGAATTTTGAGATTTTTTGAAGCAAAGACGGCTTACTCGTGTTTACTGGACGTTTAAATTGGATAGAAAATCTTTTAGTTTACATGCAAGTCCATAAGAGCTATAAGCTTCAGACATTATCTATGAAGCACTCATCCGGTAAGAAGATTATCATATTTAATGCTTCCTACGGACGAATAAACTTGTCTTCATTATATTTAAAAAAAAAACCTGACGAATGATATGTAAATTACGTATTTCATATTTAAATCTTATTGTACATTCATGTATATTAAAAAAGATAGATGAAAATTTTGTGGAGCGTATCTCATACACAGCGCCTCAAGGGGTGCGTATTTTCTCTAAGCTCTATATAAGCTCTAACGTTTTCTTTTTAGTATTTGAGTTACTTTTAGCATAACCATTTCTTTCAGCAACGAAACACTGCCCGAGAAAATAAAAGCTAAGCAATAAAAAAGCAAGTTAATTCCATCTTTGAGAAATCGGAATAATCGAAAAATCTATAGCAAATATGATTGTTGGAAATTGATTGACTTGGCGGTTCTCTAATTTAAGCCTTTTCATACGATTGTGTAATATTTTTTGTTCTAAAACTTATAAAATTATTTCAGATAAAAAATTCTTTTACTTTTTATAGATATCAATTTTTATGATATTCAATCAACAAATTGTATGAAAAAAATTCTCATCTCTATCTGTACCTTTAATTAGCACACAACTGCAACAAGTAAAAGTACTTTTTCTTTATATATCCAGTTTAATAATATATAAAATTATTCTGCTATCGAGCTTTGAAATTTCAACAATCAGCAGTTGCCAATTATCTGTTGCTATTCCGACCCTGTTGCTTCACCGCTTGTTCTACTGTATTGATTCTTAACGATTTATAATTTCTGATGATATTTTCACAGCCCCTGGAGGTGCGAGAGATATGTCCAGATCGGTGCTACAATCAGTACTCGTATCAGCTCGGAGTGTGGAGCCCGATTTGCAGTAAGAAGCTTCAGGGTATCGTGAAACTCGCCTCGGCACTCGAGAGTGGCAGATACGTCGCAAGGGACATTGGTAAGTCCCGTTCTATCCCGCACACGACTCGCGGTACTTTATCGAGTGAGCGAAGCAAGTTTTCCTGTCCGCGCGAGGGAAGGAGATCCCGGGCTTCCGTCGTGAGTTTCCGCTTCTCGTGGAAGAAATAAGCTTCGGAGAGGTGAATCGCCCGCGGCTTCCTACTTGTCCAAGAGAGATCTTTTGGCTGCCGGTTAATCGCGCACAACTCGCCGCTCCTCGCGTTTCAGTGCTTCAAGTTCGGTTGAAATGGCCCTCAGGAATTATCGAGTTTAAAGTTTAAGTAGCCGGTGATTTGGAAAATTTGAGTGTCCATCTTTAGCGTTACGATCGCAAAAACGGCGTAGGGAAAAAAGTGCGGAACTCATCGCCGGTAGCGGTAATAATGGCGTAATAATTCGCGATGTTTGCTTTAACGTGCTTCAAGAATTTATCCTTTATAGCATTTTCGCGGGAATCAAGCATATGGCTTCTATATACAAACTTTCATTCCTGTTCAGCTATTGTGGATATAGACCGTATATTCACTTGCTCGCGCGCGCGCGTACAGCAAAACGAGGAAAGTGGATAATGCAATTTCGTAAAGTAAACTATGATGACCTGCTCGTTGCCCGCAGGCCCAGTCGGAGTTTGAATCACTCGCATGTGCCAGAGTGAAAGATGAATAATAGCGCGAATTTTTTGACCTTATCAACCGGAGTGGTAGAACAAAAGAACATTTACAATCGTTATGAGACGCATAATACATCTTTTGTTTGACTTATCATAAGCTCTGTTAATTTCAATTAGTTCTACAATAATATATTGAAGTTTGTTAGACAGTAATTGCAGTATTGATGGCGGTATATTCGTATGAGTGCGCTTATCCGTTATGTCGCTCGATCAAACAATGGCAACAAGAGACAAATAATTAAATAATGGCCTTGCGGCGAGCACGTCAAACGGCAAAAATAATTGCGGTGCGCGATTGACGAAAAATATCCCTTTATTTTTGCTTCAAAATAATTGGATGGAGTGTATTCTTTGTGGATAGAGAAAGAATTCAATGTTTCGTATTTCATTGTGCACGTATCAAATAAATAAATGCGAAACTTGCATCTGAGATACCTCGTGTGTATTAATCACTATAAAATAAATTATATGAAACATAAATGCTGGGAGACTAATAAATCGCTACAAAAAAATGATGTGAATAGAATTAAAGTAGCAATTACGGAAATACCACATGCTTTTGTTTTCATTGAAACAATATTTCGTTGAAATAAATTTTGCGAAACAATGCAACGCAATCAGAAATTAAAAGAGAATGTTCTCCGTTCAATTATTTTTTTTATTAATATTTTACAGATTTACGAATATTTTTGCGCGCAATATTGACATTTATTTATATTCATTCAATCCCCGTGTAAATCAGGAGGCGCGGACCCCGAAAGAATGGCGCCCCCGAGGGTGGAAGAATACCTAGCGGAGCTGTTTTGCGGATCGAATGTCACTGTGCAAGTGATATCCGATCCGGATACGCTGCTTCAGGAATATCCGCTGTTTGCCTGCGTAAATCGCGCCGCATCGGTGATACCGCGTCACAGCGGCAGGATTATATTCTTGACCTACGAACCGCCTTCCTCCTGCGTCTTGGAGACGATCATGCTCGTGGGAAAGGGTGTCACTTACGACACCGGTGGCGCCGACATCAAGTGCCAGGGCATCATGGCTGGCATGTCGAGGGACAAATGTGGCGCGGCCGCCTGCGCCGGATTCATGCAGGTGCCGTAATATATCGCCGTCCACGGCATTATACGTCACGCTGAAACGATCGCGTTTCACTTCGCTTCTATTAATAATCGCGTTTTGATAAGTTTCCTGCCTGCTGACGCGAGTTACAAGATTCTCGAAATGATCATCGTATGCGAGCCGTAATTCTATTCCTTGTGCCACGGTGTAGTGCATTAATGGTCTTATTGCACGCTCGCTTCCTCTATACATATATATAGCACGCAGCGTCTATCGCTATTTCTCATCGACTGAAATACGAACTTTGAATAAACAAATATTCATCGTCATGATGGAGCGCGGATCGAAAGTTATTATATTTGACAAATTTATTGGTAAAATCGTGAGTTGAAATTAAACGCAAATTTAAAAAAATGTAGTTACAATTTTCGAACGCAATTTTTTTTTTTTTTAATTGCAAAGATAATTTTACACGCGAAATAAAATTGACTCTGTTAAATACTGCAGGTGGTGAATTTATTGCAACCACCCACGGTAAAGGTCGTCGCCGCATTGTGCGTCGTAAGAAATAGCGTAGGCGAGAACTCTTACGTCGCCGATGAGGTGATCACAGCAAAATCGGGCGCTAGGGTGCGCGTGGGCAACACGGACGCCGAGGGTAGAATGGCCATGGCCGATGCTCTCCACCACCTGAAAGAGATGGCTCTATGTTCCGTCAACCCGCATCTCTTCACAGTAGCCACTCTAACGGGCCACGCCGTGTTAACTGCGGGCTCGGGATATTCCGTAAGTATCGTTGCGGAGCTGCGTACATTCATTATGTGCTTCCAACCGCATTTTAGCGAATGTTATGTTAACATATGCACCTGCTTGAATTTCTATCGGTCGTATAACGATGTAAACGTGCCTTGAAATAACGATGGGGGCGAACAACCCCGCTGGTTCGCCACTATCGCGCGCAGCAATAACAAAGTTAGACGTTAAAATCGAGGCGCGAAGCAGCGGATACGTATACAGACAGTTACGTATTTGTTGATTCATCGAGGAAGCGTAATTGGACAGGGTTATAAACGACCTAGATGCAGTGCGCTATTCCCTTAGCGTTATATCGAAACCCCGGGCGTGACGTGAGATATAAAGGTATATGACTTCGTCATAAAAATCGTTCGTAGATGCTAACCATAACTCATCCTCTGGTTACTTTACTGTTCCAGTGAAAGATCGCCTTTTCGTCCATACTTAAAATTCGGTATTCACGTGTATGATATATTCGTTGCGATAGATTGCGATGGATAATGCGGTGGCACGACTGGCCAGTAACGCGGAAAAGCTTCAAGCTTCCGGCGAAACGATGGGCGATCCATTTGAAATATCGCGAATACGTAGAGAGGATTTCCTCACCCATCAAGGACGTGCCGAAGGTGATGACATTCTCCAAGCGCTGAACCAGCCCAGTTCAAAAACTCCGCGAGGTCACCAGGGACCAGCCGCCTTTCTAATTAAGGCATCCGGGTTGGATAAGGTATCGTATTTTTATCATTATTATAATTATTTTCCTTCGAAAGGTTTAAACATGCTTCCGGCCATTGTAACATTTGCTGTGTAATAAATAATGAAAAATTTAAATTTAAAAAATTGATGACTTCTAGCACGGTACTGAATCAGAGAAGCCTCTGAAGTACAGTCATCTGGACGTAGCCGGCAGTGCCGGTGAACTTCCGGCGCAACCAACCGGCGCGCCGATATTAGCATTAGCTAAAGCGTTTCTTCTTGATAAAATAGATACTGGAGAGACCAAGGATGCGTAATGCTAAACCAGCTGCCTTAAACATATATTTCTTATCGTATACATCTAATATTTGTAACTCACGCAAAAAACTTTGGACATTAACCAGAAGCGCAAAGGATTAATTATATCTATAAATTCTTTATCCCGACAGTTTCCGCAAGTTGTGCCGTACGGTTCTACTTCGAGGACAAACGGTTACATTAAAGTTATTTGGTAGTCAAAATTTCGCTCATATGTTATACTGCGAGTGTTACATACAAAATTTTATATCATCAGAGCGATAAATCATATTTATAGATATTTTTATATCTCGTACAGAAACGTTCACCATCAAACCACATTACATCAGTCAAGGTCGTTCATTATATACTCGATCCTCCCCAACTAAGCGTAATGAATTTTTTGCGGGCGAACGACTTAATGTAGATACCAAACGTTAATGGCGGATTAAAAAGCTTTTCCATTATATACAATAACGTTTAAAGACTCATTTATCCACTCTCGATCTCCCGTTTACTTTCCCTTTCGTCTCTTTCTTTCCTATTCCCACCCCACGGCTCCTTCTCCCTCCGACTCACTTTGTATCGATTGCAGCACGGAGTTTGTAGCGGCACCCCTATAAAATACACGCACATTGACTTGTACGGGCATCTACCTCGGCCTCATCACAGCTTCGCGTACAGCGGCAATCCTGTCTTAGCTATGTCCTATTGCTACCTGATTCAAGGAAAATGTCTGACATTGCGAAATGATCTTCCCTACGAGATGCAATACGTCTGCGAGCTCGACTGCAAGCCCGTCTGCATATCGCCCTGTCCGCCTTGCGAAGTTCCCTGTGATCCCTGCGGAACACCCTGTCCGCCGATCGCCAGGTGTCCCACTTGTTTGAGCGGGAAATCCTGTGAGCGACATCAAGCGCAACCCTATCCACCTGCCCAATCCGCATCGCTATGTCAACCCGGTCTACCTAATTCAGAAACGATGTACCAGGGACCCATGTGTCAAACGAATGTCTAAAGAAACGAATTGAACCCGCGTGCCTGACAATATGTCAAGTTACGAAATATTCATGCGGTATAAGGATTTATGAGAACCATTTTTACGTGGCGAGTCGTTAATCTCGTCATCGATTTTAAGTCCGTTTTTACTGCCGTTTCATCCGATTTATTTTATATCGAGCCATAGTTTTTTTCTGATGGAATATATACATTTGTACGAATAAAAAATATATTGCAAAAAATCGCCTTCCGTCTCCTCTTTGCTGAGAATATCTCATTCTACGGTATTATCCGTAATCGAAGCCTTAATCGCAAACGTCTGTGTGTGTGTGTGTGTGTATGTGTGTACGTTATCAAATAATTATTCACCTGCTAGGATATTGCAGTTTACTCAACCCACTGCACATTTCGCCTTAGGCTACTCCGCATTAGTTTCATCAAACAATCAATGAACACCGCAAACTCCTCACTTAATTACACGCAGCATCGCACAAACGTCAACTCGTGCTTTTACTTTCGAGACTTATCGGAATTACGAATTCATACCGCAAATTTATCAAGCTACGGTACACAAATGCAAACGCAAGATATATGTACATATAAAACATTTTTGTGTCGCAATGCATTCGTGTACATAAGTATAAATGATAATATCTAGTAATTACAAAAAAAATAACAAACTTGCAAAGAGAAAAGGTATAAGGTAGTTTTAGCCATTGTGTAAAAAAAATTAATTGTTTTTGAGAAGCATGTTGTATGCAAAAGTTCTTCCAATTTTGCGATATTTACAGAAAAAAAGAGAATTGTCCACTGAAAGCATGTTAGAAAGAGAGAGAGATTGTTGTATAAACTCTCTCTTTGTCAATTGTTGTATAAACAATGATATCAATAACCAAACTTTTATTCACACCAATAAACTGCGCATTTGAAATCGTAGTTATTTATCATACAACAAAATTTATTTGTCATACTCAACAATTCCCTTTTTCAAAAACATTAAACAACTAAATTTATTAAATTACAATTGCAACATATGACTTTCCGGCGAAAAGGAATAATTTAGAAAATACAATTACGCGGAGCTATCAGTCGTTAAATACTTACAATGTCCTAAACAAGCAACGGTGGCAGAAAAAAATCGAAAATTGCGCCTATAATTTGTTTACCACAGCTATCTTGCACTTAAACTACTTTTATAAGCTTTCTATGTATATGAAAAGTAATACACGTTTAGAGCGTTTTACTATCTTGTTTTACAAATAATTAAACATTTATTACGTAAAGAAATAAAATCCGCAAGCTAAAATTAAAAATATATGTCGTCGGAATGAAATGATCGAAACCTTAATCGCAGGAAGGCAGATTGCAGCACCGAAATATGCTGCTTTTGTTCTTTATAAAACAAATCTACGAAGTGTACAATCTACGCGCTCAGTTATCTGCGCACTATCATCTTGCCATTCGCTCAGCGATATTCAAACAGAGCAAACGGCAACGGGATTGCTCCGTATCGTCGCGCTAAATATTAGAAGATTATTCCTCATGAATAATTGCAAATTCGCAGTTTGCACGACTAATCAATTACCACAATTAAGAATTCGGTTAGTTTATTTCCAGGAAATATATATTTTTAATTTTAGCTTGTGTGTTTTACTCAGTTTTATATACAATAAATGTTTATTTGTAATACAAGATAATAGAACGTTTCAAACGCTTCAAAAGGCGAACATACACCATTTTTCATGCGCGAAAAGTACGAAAAGCTTACGAAAGTAGTTTGAGTATAGCACAGTCGAGGCGGCAAAGTTGACCGCATTTTTCGATTTCCTTCCGCCGTCATTGCTTGCTTCGGACGCCGCGAGTGTCGAATGAATCATAGCTGTGTACAATTGTGTTTTTCGAGTTATTCCTTTGTCATGATGTGACAAAGTGCGCGTCGAGAATGTCGTAGAAACTGTCGTGCGCCCGTAATTTCGCGAGTGTTGTGCTGTACTATAAAAGAGCAGACATTGATGAACTATTGAACAGAAAAGGATGCCCGGAGAACGACAGACAACGGCAGAGCAACTCTGGTATGAGTAATTTATTGTTTATTATTTAATTACTTATTCATTATTTGTTATTTGCACAAGATATATTAATTATCCTTGCGTGGTCGCATGATTTTGCGTTGTACAATACAATTCGTATGAAATAAGCGAGTTATTTATATAATATTCAATTAGATTTTTTCAATAATTATGTTATTCTTTTATTGAATATCTGATTGAAAAGCAAATAAAATATTGAATGCATGTAATTATTTTTGGAATATTAATTATTTAAAACTTTATAATTGCAAAATATTTATATTTCACAGACTAATGTGTATATTACAATTCCATTGTTGCACATTATGTGCGTTGACATGATTTTTATTTTAATATAGAAATAATACAGAATCTGTGAATATTGTATTACATATGTGCTCCTGTTATAGATTAAAAAATTTAGATTAAAAGCAATGAACAAATATTATAAGTCTATTATTTATATTTTATTATAATTGCTAAGTATATTGTTTAATTGCTCAATTACTATTTTATAATTGATTAAATTCTCAGACTTATTGTTTGCAGATAAATAATGCAAACTGAAAAAATAAATATAATTAGAAAAATAATGACATTGTTAAAATATAAAATTTTTATGTAAATTTCTTTATGATAATCTTATTTCATGGAGAACAAAGATTGAACTAGAATGTTTATACATATTGTAATTCTATATAAGAAGTAAAAATTAAAATAAAATTGATCACACTTAAATACAATATAAAATATAATTATTACTTATAACTTCTTATAACTTCTTATTTACATTTACATTTAGAAAAGTATAAAATTACTGAAAATAATATATTGCGATAATTGAACGTGCAAGCAGATGCCTGCAATGCACGTATAGACATATCAGATATCTGCAGTCAGTAAGTTGTGTAACAGATACCTGCCACCAGATACCTAGTATATCTGAAACCAGTAAGATATCTACGGTTGGTTATCTCGTGATATTTTCTGTCACTAAAAAAAATTGTTTTTTCATAAAAATTGCAATTGCATATTATAATAACAGTAAATATATCAAAATATAATGAATAATTTCATTAATCTTCATATATAAACGTTTCAATATTCAAATTCTGCATTCAGATTCTGTATATATTGTATGCACAATGTTTTTAATGTGAATCATGTCTCAAATTAGAATCACATAATTATTGACAACTAAGTGTTATATCTGTGCTTTACACCAAGTTTTATTTATAGCAGCGCATAAGCATTGAAAATAAATCTTACTCATCATTGAGGGATTTTGTTACAGTCAATTACTTTACATATAGATGACCATATTATTTGAAGGTAACGTACCGATGCAAACAAGAAAAGATCTATTGCAAATATATATTAAATAATAATAATAATATATATAATATGTAATATAATAATAATGTATTTAATTATTTTCTAATATTTTTTTTCTCTTGATATTAATTTATATTACGTTTGTCGTAAATATTATGCTTCAATATTTAAAAAAATGTATGTACATTGAAGATAATATTACTTTTGCATTATTATGCTCAGTATATCCGCATCAAAATAACTGTAATAAATTTATCTCAAGTCCATCACGTTATAATTATGAAATCGTTGAGTGTAAATATAAAGATTTCAATAAACATCAAAAATTTTCACTCGTATAATTGTATAATTGCGGGTCAACAGATGAAATCATGCTCGACAATCACCGAGTACACTTTGTAAGCTTGAGTCGAGCAAAAGAATGCCATAGAAGGGAAACATAATTACTGCCACGTCCTTTCTTAATTAAGAGAAAATGTTTGGCGTATCTCGTAGAGATTACCGCGAGCGAAGCAAACTTCCGTTTGCGTTACTACCGTGCTTGCTTTCTCACGATCGAAAGCCTGATCCAAAACTATAATCCTGGAATCTTTTTGCAAGAATGTTAGATCAATTAAATAAATCCATAAAGTATTTATATAATTTGCGCTGTGTTATTAATTAAAGTTTCATCTAACGTTTTATCTATACCGTGATACTATAAACAAATACGTATTATGCAATCAAAATATTCTGCTGGAATTAATAAAATATTTTTTTTACGTTAATAAAAGTTTCAAAAAGAATGATAATCAATGACATCTGCAATTTATAAAAACACTGCTTTTTAGCACACTGCCAAGCTTAACAGTGATTTCCATATCATCACTTCGAAATATTGCATCTAATATGTAGAAATAATGTGATTAAAAAATTGATATCATAATCGGCAAAAATCACAAACTTGCGAAAAACGCGCGCGTCGCTCGCAAAAGACAGATCCGTGGTTGAAAGGGGAGAAGAGTAAAGGATAGCGCACGACTTAGAATAGTAAATTCTAATGCAAGGAACAGTGAACATAGTAAGCAGGGAACCGGCAATATTATCAGCGCGACGGTACACGCGAGTTGACATTGTTTGAAGAACTTGAAGGCGACGGACGCGCGAGTCGCCGGTTGCAAGGAGCGACGTGAGGTTTGCAAGGAGGTAACACACCGGACGGGAGGGACGAAGGGCATAGAGGGGTGGAGGAAGAGAGTGAGAGAGGAGGGGGCGGTAGGGGGCAGTATGGCGGGTTCGACGGCCGGCTGGTGGCCCAGTGACCGGGACCGGTTCCCTCCGCGGTTCCTCCTTCCGCCTTCCTTGCAAACGCACAACTGCATCATCTCGACTCACCTCGCTTCGTCCCCCTCCCGCCCCGTCCCTCACCCTCTTGCGCGCTCTCCTTCTCTCTCCGTCTTTCTCGCGTGTTCGTCTGCCAACCCTCCGCTCACCTCCTTCTCCGACCCGGTGCGCGCCTTCGCGCTCACTCCTCTCTCGTTCGTCCGTTCGACCGGCCGGCCGACCGACCGACCGCTTCTCTCTCTCTCTCTTTCTCTCTCTTTCTCTCTCTCTCTCTCTCTCTCTCTCTTTATCCACCGTCGTAGTCTCTCTTCTTTTCGCACGAAAGCGTTGCCACACGCGCGAAACGGCCCACCGCCTCTTCGTTCCTCGCTGATTCCCTTCGCGGCGCCGATGCGATGCTCTTTCTCCCGCTCGCATCATTCCGTGATGCTCGCGCGCTCAACGCAACGGCCGTCTCTTTCTCTCTTTCTCACCTCGCGAAGCAGAGGTCATGCCGCGTATTCGCTT